ATCTACTCCAGCATGCTCCAACTGCTCATGTTCAATCCTAATTAGATTATCCACCATTTGCTCTTGCTCACACCTTATGGCTTTTATCTCCTCGACTGGGTTTTGCTTCAGAGCCAACACTCTCTCAAATGAGTTTTCTTTCTCCACTATTAGTTTATGACATCGACTGAGTGTATCGACATGTTGCACCCTAGCTGCATTCCGATGTTCCAACTCATAGTCGTAACTCTCTCCAATCCTTTGCTGCGACTCCACTTCTAAAATGTTTTCTACATCAATCTCAACCTCCTTATCAATATTTCTATCACCAATGTCAATCACCAATATATTATTATCATTCTCCTTTCGCTCACTAGTCACCTCTTTTCCTATGTCAGTATTTAAATCTTCATGATTGAGCAACATCGTCGTACTGTCGGGCACCTGTTGCGCAGGCTGCACCAAACTAACGGCCCGTTCCTCTGGCGTTAACTCATTCATAACACTCAATAGCGTACCCAAATCCTGAAAGCGATTCATTTTTGCCTGGGCCTGAAGTAGCGGGTTGTCAAACCCATCGATCATGTATGCCAACATATCGTCTTCGGTAACATCCGCCCTGTTGCCCAGCGCCATCTTCTCCTGGAAGTAGGGGCTAAAGGGTTCCTGGCTCCGCCATCTCCGGGCCTCGAACTTTCTCATTCTTGTCATGCGATCTTCACTGTTCTGAAAGAAAGCTGTCATCGCCCTCTTAATTTTGTCGTAGGTATAAGTGGCGTATTCTGCTTTACTAAAAAACCACGACTAAGCAGCTCCTGTCAATTTGGATATCATTAATACCGCCATCTTCCTTTTGGTCACGTCGTACGTATCGCGAACGGCTTCTATGCGCTCGAAAAACGAATTCACACATTGTTCCGCCGAACCTCCAAATTCTGGCAGCATCGCCAACAATTCACTACTCGTTATATCCTCCACTTTATCACTATTTGTAGATCTGATTAAATTTATAAGATCTGTCAATGAAAGCAGCCTCAGAGCTTCCGACGCCATGATTTCTTTATGAACTCTTGTAGCCATTTTATTTTTAATCTTTAAATTTCTCCAAAATCCTGCATTTCTCCACACAACTGTTACTGCACCTTAACTAAATAATATCGCTAGCACGCCTTGCTTGCCATATTTTTACTATACTGTTCACCTTAGTCAGCCACGTGCTAACCTAACTTTTAAACTTTTCGCCGAAACAAACACAAAACACCACAAAAAAACACCACACTTGGTCTGATAGTGTTAGTTGTGATATTACTATCACAACCCTCGTAATTATTAATCCACCTGATTAATAATACACGCACTTGTAATTATTGGAATCACCTATTCCAATAACAACCTTAACTAAAAATCACACACTTGGTCTTATAGCGTCGCACACCTGCTTACTATCACAACCCTCGTCATTATTAATCCACCTGATTAATAATACACGCACGTGTAATTATTGGAATCACCTATTCCAATAACAACTTTAACTAAAAATCACACACTAATTATCTCGGTAAATATCCCAGTAATTATCCCAGTAAAATACTGGTAAATTCCAGTAAAATCCCGGTAATTATCCCAGTAAAATCCCACTTCTGAAACTATTGTCTCTATTCTCTATAATTAATTATTTTGTCAGGAATCTATAAATTAAATAACAACACGGTGCAGTAACCTTTATAACTTTATTCAATATCTCACCAGTCCGTCTCTACGCGTTTCACTCTGTAACTCACTCTGTTTCCGACTTCCTCCTCGTCTACATTCACACTGTTCGTACTGTCACTCATGTCAACTGCACGCACACGCTTAAGTCTTACCAACATCAACATTACCAACCGCAAGGGACTGTCATGGTCCGCGCCATATTCAAACATGCATTCAAACATTCACACAATATATTTCGCTAACAATATATATATATATATATATATATATATATATATATATATATGTTTATATATTATATATGTGTATATATAAATAAACTATATATAACTCAATAGATATCTTATTAATCTCAAAATGACACTTCACAGAAAAAAAGCTATTTTAAAATTTATAACTACACTACTTATAATTCAAATCATTAAAGTGGCTGGGCTCGCGGCAGTTCGGCTATATTAATCAAAAATAATTTAAAGTATTTTGCTCTACCAAATATTTATGATGATTATCTACAAGCAACTAAAATTCCTGTTGAAACAAATTTAAATAATTCGTGTGTTTCTGCTGTTTATTGTCCACCAAGATTCAAAATTTCTTGTTCTCAGTATTTTTTATTTTTCTCACAATTAGGTAATAAATTTACCATTGGTGGTGACTTTAATTGTAAACATACTGCCTGGGGTTCTAGACTGACTACAGCCAAAGATAAAATACTTCATGCAGTTAAAGTTTCAGACCTTTAAAATTTTTTATTGTGAGAGGTATTGATCATTCAAATCTTAATATTGAATCTCGTTACGATCTCTCTTCTGATCATTCTTCAATGTTCACCAAATGATCTTATGTGAAATTAAAAAGATGAAAAACAAATCTTTACCGGGTATGAACAAAATTAATCCAAAAATTATAAAAAATTGCATGTAAAAAGTATTTTATATATAACAAATATTTTCAACGCCATCCTTCAATATAAATATTGGCCAAAAGCCTAGTAGACTGCAGAAATTATTATGATCGCTAAACCGTTCAGTCTTTTATCGATATTATCGAAAAATCTCAGCACATAATTGTTTCACTTTAACATCACAACAGTCCACATATCACCATAAATATTTCAATAATTCTACTATGCAACACTGTTAAATAATTATGCATGGGCATCTGTACAAAATTAAAATGGAGAACGCACGTTGAAAATAAAAAGAAACTGATCCAACTGAAATTAAAAGCTTTTCACTGGCTTTTTGGGAGAAAATCCCCAAAAAAATGGCATCGAACTATGGGGTAGCTCTTATAAATCAAATGTAAACATTATTCAAAGGAACCAGAACAAAATTTTGCGTATCCTAACAAATGCGTCTTGCTAGTTTTAGAACTTTTGCCTACATAATCAAAAACTAATTGCTGATGAATAATTACTCAAGTTAGAGCAAAATTACAACAAACTTATCTGTATACAATTAACAGATATTATTATAAGAATTTGAGCATAAAAACTTACTTTTGACTTAAATCGTCAAATTACTATTTAAATGTCAAGAAATTATACTTCATATTTCTCTATTTGAACCCTATCTCGAAATCAGTATAGTTTATCTGTTATGACGACTGGCATTACCGTAACTTGGTACAATCGTACCCAGCAAACTCAATATTTGCTATATAAAAATGTATAAAAATTTTAAATTTAAATTTTGCTATATAAAAATATATAAAACTGAAGTTTATTATTTTTTATTGTTTTACTTTTATTTTATTCTTAGAATTATGAGATAAGAATAGAACCATAGATTCATTGTCATTGTATACAATACTAATAAAATAATCTTTTTATACACTTATAAGCATAAGTGCATTTTAGGCCTATAAAATATAAATAATAAAATTCACAGCATATATTTGTGATAATTTATTTGAAAATATTCAAAACAATTGCTATTGATCATTAAACTTTTTTTATTTATTTATTAATTTTATTCCTTGAATGTTTTTCCCGGTAAGGGAATTTCTAGCAATCTGTTTCAAAGTACAATGTCATGAACTACTAGTTTTCTAAATATGTCTTCTGAATATGATAATTTTAACTTCTTACCGTAGAAATGTTTGAGATTTGTTTGAGGTGGGGGGAAGTCCCCGAGTGCCGGACACCTAAGGTTATTTATAAATAAATCAAAACATATTTTACGAAATGTTTATTAAATCATGACTTATGTTAGATAACAAAGTTAGAAATCAAACTAAATGAATACGCAATCTTTGCTAAAACATAATTAATACTATCAATCAAACTTTGGTAACAAAAAATGTGATTTTACGAAGTGGCACCTAGTACCGGACATTTCAAAATAACCAGCATTGAACACATATGTAGCCATCTCCACACTCTGGAATATCTGCACATTTGTGTTTGACGAATATTCTTAGATATTGCAAGGAAAATCACTAATTATCTACCCTTTTGGCTGGGCCACACCTATGCTCTCAACTGGAGCATTCATCATAAGATTTTCATTCTTTGATTAGAAAATACATAAAAAAGGAAGTATGTAGTGACCGTTAGCACTCATACAGAACAAAATTAAATAATTCGAATAAATTACGTCCATTCTCACAAAAAATATCAATATATTTACTTCCGGCGCTAAGGGACGACTTGGTGTCCGCTGTGCTAAGGGACAGACAATTTCGTTATTTGATGGTACCTACTAAAATTGTTTAAAATATCTAATAATATTCTACCATTTTACAAATAACAATCAAGTACTACTTTTATTCTGAGTGCCACTGAAATATAAATGCATAAATACACTAGAATTACTTCCATCGATATTTAGGTGACGCCGTGTTTTTGCGCCTAAAACGTCGTGGCCGTGTGCGTCACAGGTGAGTCTTGGCGCGTGATCCTGCACCTGTGTGCCCCCCGCGCCACTTTCACTTGTATTTTGAAATAAAAAGATTTATACTTGCTTAAATAATACGGGTTAAATAGAGAGTCCGGCTTTAAGTGCCGTCCGGCGTTACGGGACTTCCCCCTAAGCAAGGAATCACCAGCAACTATATATGCTGTCTACATTGACCTAAGAGTTTGATTAAAATGCAAAAAAAATTAACGATATTTCTTTATCAGTTTTATAAAGTTTTTACTGGCACTATATTAATCAAGTCATATCTGATAAACGTATAACATATTGTTTGCAAAATGACCAGTCTCTAATTAATTAAATATTGTAATATAACCTATTTTCGCTGAAAAACATTTTGTTTGTAATGACACTAATGTACAAATAAAACTTATGCCACTAAATTTATTAAAAATTAGCAGGATGCTCATATTGCATTTCGCCTTCATATCTTTTTGTGTGCGGTCGTGATTCCTCGCCCAATATTTGTACACTTCTTACAGGTTTTTTCTTCATGAATGAAGGCGATATTGTTGTTTTGTCGTTGATACTGGATGATGCAATATACCCGTCTGGAGTCAATGCTAACATAAGCATTCTCAAAAGTAAAGCTTCCCTTACTTCTGCAGGTAAGTATACGTTCGACTGATCTAAACGTTCTTGAGGATTTGGACGCAATGATATACCCATTTCGTATGGCAAATCTCTTCTAGGTGAAAATTTGTGATTGAAAGAACTTTCTGATAATAAAGGTTCATATTCTCTGTGTTCTAATTTTTGCCGATGTATTGGCGCTTGTCTGTACATCGAATACGGGATGTTCTGTTGGGCACTAAATATCATGGGACTGTTCACTCTTTTATAATGAGATACTTGATGCTCGTCAAATTCTGAAAATCCGGGATTAGAATTATGAAGATTATAATTTTGTCCATGTCTATGTTTACGTATAATTTGCTGAAGCAATATTTGAAAATCTCTAGTAGTCAAAGGCAATCCAATCATATTATAATTTTCACCAGAATATTGGTTGTAATCGGCGAAAGGTAAAATCGGTACATAATTAGACTGATACGGTTTAAAATCTTGATGAGGCGTGTAAGAATTGCTAATGTACGAAAGTCTGATATTTGGATTTTTAACTGAGTTGTGCAAAATAGCACCTGGATGATGTTCTGTTTGGTGTTCATCTTTAGATGACGGTATTTGATTAGAAGAACTGCTTTCATGTATATATCGACTTTCTTCATCGTGTACCTGTTCTAAAGTAGTATGGTATTCTGATCTCTGTGCATTTTTAGTTAATGGTACAATGGAACGCTCTCGTAAGATTTGTGCTCTTCTAAGATTATGATTATGTTCTACTCTACCACGTGAATTGTAATGGTCATAGTTGCGCAAGTTTTTATATTGAGAGTGACTTGTAGGAAACTGAAGTGGATTTTCAGTTGACGTTTTTGAATGCTCTATATCGGGAAACTTGATAACTACCTTGTTCGGAAATTCCTGCGTCTTTTGAACATATTCGATAGTTTGAGGTACAGTTTTTAATGGTACATAATTTGAATGCCTGTTTCTAGCTGATAATGCTGAAAATACATTATCACGAGGAGAAGCTGTTGTACTAATCATTAAATGTGGATTACCCGTAGAAAAACTGCCTCCGTAGACATGAGCTGCATCATCACCCGATAATTTGTCGTAATTGATAATCTGCTCCTGCGCTTCATAATGCACACCAGTACTTTCATTATATTTTCTGTGCAAATTGCTTTTTCTGTCAAGTTTTACATTGTCATTAAAGTTTCTAAAAGATACTTGATGACTCGGTTGTCGCAGTAATGGGATATTATTTGTTTTATCTGATAAATTTTTAGTAAAATAGATTATTTTTGTTGGTGCTGGTATATTATCCTCTTTTAGCGTTGTACTTTCAGCATCACTTGGACTATCCACTTGTCCTTCTATAATTGATTTTTTTACATTTTTGTCTATTGCAGGTTTTATTATAACAGCAGGCCTAGGGTTTGCAGTTGTGACTGGTAAAACTATATTAATATTTTTAAACTGCTTAGAAGCAGGATAAACATTGTGTGCCAAATTCGAACTATCATAACTGATGACGGTACTTTCACTCCCCAAAGCATTTTCTGTTCTTCTCCTAGGAATCGATTGTATAACAGTTTCTTTTGTCGTTAAAGGTGTTGTGTTAATTTGTGAATAAATGGACGTAGTATATGGTTTCATACTACTTGGTAATAAAGAACTTGAACTTGACTCGACTGGTTTACCAGAATTTTTTGTCGCAGTTTGATTAATTGCCGAATAGGATATTCGTTTGATTTCTCCCTCATCATCTTTAAATCCAAATGTCCCTTTTACATTACCAAGAACATCTCTACTTTCAATTTTAAATGAACCATCTTCAGCTTCATATCCTAGAGTATAGGATCCATCTACATTTATACGTTTAATCTGCTTAACTACATCAAGATTTGATGGATTCGACATAGTAGATGAGCCGATGACATCCTTTGTCGCGGTCAATGTATCTGATTGATTTGTAATAGAAGAAGTTCTATTAGATGCATTTGCAAATGATGGCGATGGTCCTAAAGATTGAGTCAGTCCGTACACGGTATGTAGAATCAGATACAGCGTTACCTGAAATCAAACGACATTTTTGTAATATTGTAAGCAAACTGTTTTTATTCAATTTAGCGTATGGCAGGTTATACTAATAGCAAAAAAATTGAAAAAGCATATTTTTGCATAAATTTGCGTTTCAAATTCCTTCAAATATTTTGGCATTTCTTTTAAAAAAATGATATATGTGCGCGTCTGCCTTCTTTTTGTGTGTACATGTGTATGCGTGAATATATTTTTTTTGCAATGGCAGGTCCAGTCTTTTCGAAGTGTGTCGATACGGCTTTGAAGCGAACGGATAGTCCAATTTTAATTATTTAAAAAATATTTTAATTGTATTGACAAAATAAAGAATTCATTAAATTTTTGGGAAGCGGTTTCGGAGATCTAGGAAAAAAAAGTTAAACTAGTTGGTATCGATACTTTGCCTTGAGGCAAGTTACATGAACTTCCCGATATATGTAAATAATCAACTTAATCAATAAAAAATAAATTAATTTATGGTTGATTAAAAGTATTCCGAGTGGATTTATAACACATCATTGAAAACGAACGAACACGTTAACTTGGAGTATTTTCTAAAAACAAATTTTTAAAACTAGTTGGTATTGGTATTTTTTGCCTTGAGGCAAGTTACATGAACTTCCCGATATGTGTAAATAATCGACTTAATCAATAAAAAATAAATTGATTTATGAGTGATTAAAAGTATTTCAAGTGGACTCGTTAATTCGGAGTATTTTCTAAAAGCAAATTTTCAAAAATCAATAATTTTTATAATTGAACCAGTTTCCGTATGACTTTAACGGTTTAGTATGTTCATTAGGACCAAGTACTCTATTTTTATACCAAGTAAATCGTCTAATTTGAATTTTAACAAACGTCAAAAAAAAACTATTCTTTGATAAATTTTTAAAATTAAACTACTTGTCGCAAGGCCGTAATATTTTAGTAAGTTCTATAAGACCATGCTATATATCGCCAAAAAAAGTTTTATAACAATCGGCTTAAATTTTTTTTCAACAGTTTATTACAAGAAAACGGCTCGGTAGATTTTCACTTAAAACTAATCAGTATCATTCACAACTAATATCTTTCGAAGAGTTTTTGATTTTTTAAAACCGATTCGGTAGTTTGAGCTTAAATGTGGACGAAAAGTTTAACACTTTTTTTCAAATTACAAAGAAACGGTTTGGCAGATCGTCTCACAAAACTGACAGACGATAGTCCTCATTGAGATACATCAAATGGCTTTTAAATTTCTGAAATCGGTTCAGGCGTTTTTAAGAAAACGTCGATCAAAGGTCTAATTGTGACAAATGCCATTAAAACTATACTAATTTTTGCAAACTTTTAAGAATTTTTAAAATTAAACGACTTGTCGTAGGACCGTAATATTTTAGTATGATCTGTAATCATAATAATCGTCGAATTTTTTTTTAACTTTATTATAAGAAAACGGCCCAGCCGATCTTTACCAAAAACTACCGTCAAAAAAATCATAATAATCGTCGAATTTTTTTTTAACTTTATTACAAGAAAACGGCCCAGCCGAACAAATCAGCACAATTCCCAACCAATATCTACCGACGGTTTTTGAATTTTCAAAATCGATTCAGAATTGAAAACAACCATCCGTAAATATTAAGAGTGGTTTGAAATTCCAAATAAAAAACTCAAACAAAATGTAAACAAAAAATCCCCATGCAAGAAAAAAACTGCAAACTCAGAATTCTGGCTAAATTTTTGGTTCAAATTTTCTAAACGAAATATATTTAAACTAGTGGTGTATGGCATCGTGCCTTAAGGCAAATTGCTGGAACTTCCCGTACCGTAATAAAATATTCGAGAAATTTTAAACGTTTTCAAACATATTATTACAAATACTGTAACTTTCATTATTTTTGCTATCTTGTTATATCTGAGCAAATCAAATATAAATCATAAATTAATTTATCTCCAGAACATTAACAATCGTCATTTCATTTCGAATTCAATTTCAAATAATTCTGTGCGACATTTTCATTATACTGTGCTTAGCTTGACGGCGTTTTCACATTTTTCAATAGTTTTCACAAATTTGGAAAAGTGCCCCAGTACATAAACAGTCTAAACGGCTCTTAGACTGCGCTTAGTCTAGGTAATTTTTTGAATTTTTAATCCAAAATTACAACAATATTTTTTGAAAAAAAAAAATAGGAAGAGAATTTTTTTTTCCAAAAGCAATTATTTTGTTGAAACAAGCAGAAAATTCTTTGAATCATTTAAATCGAACCAAAAACTGATAACCACTTTTCCCCGTCATTACGAACTGAATGTTTTTTGGATCATACAAATCGGATGATTCCGTTTTTTCTGAAGTATGCCAAAATGTTCAGAAACCTTCAAAACGTCGAGAAATGCAAAAATTTTTATTTTCGATTTTTGGCCCATTACTATAACTACCCTACAGGAACTTAAAAAGTATTGTCAATCAAAACATTTTTGAAAATCCGGGACAATTCGAGACAAAACATCTGAAACCGGGACAAATATTGCTTTTAGAAAAAGCCGAGACGCAAGGCTGAAAATCGGGACTATCCCGGCCAATCCGAGTTGTATGGTCATCTTAGTTAAATGCACTTAAAATCACTTGATAGAGGAAAGTATTACAACGCAAAGCTCCCATTCTAGGGCTTTAGATAACACCAAAAGACCAAAAAATTTATAATAGGGGAAGTCACCTAAATATCAATGGAAGTAATTCTAGCATATTTATGCATTTACATTTGAGTGGCATTCAATGATGAAAGTAGTACTTGATTGTTATCTGTGAATTGGTAGAATATTATTAGATATTTTAAACAATTTTAGTAGGTACCACCAAATGAACGAACATGCCTGTCCCTTAGCACCGGACACTAAGTCGTCTTTTAGCGCCGGACATTAAACATATTGATATTTCTTGTGAGAATTGACGTAATTTATTTTAATTATTTAATTTTGTTCTGTATGAGTGCTAAGAGTCACTACATACCCCTATTTTTTTGTGATTCCTAGTCAAAGAATGAAAATTTTATAATGAATGCTCCAGCTGAGAGCATTGGTGTGGCCTAGCCAAAAGTGTGGATAAATAGTGTTTTTTTGCAATATCTAAGAATATTCGTCAAACACATATGTGCAGACACTCCAGAGTGTGGAGATGGCTACCTATGTATTCTATACTGGTTATTTTAAAATGTCCGGTACTAGGTGCCACTTTGTAAAATCATATTTCTTGTTACCAAAGTTCGATTTATAGTATTAATTATTTTTTAGCAAAGGTTGCGTTTTTGTTAATTTAGTTTGATTTCTAACTTTGCTATACATAAGTCATAATTCAATAAACATTTCGTAAAATATTTTTTGATTTATTTATAAATAACCTTAGGTGTCCGCCATTAGGGGACTTTTCCCTATAACTATTGCGGCAAGACATTGTGCCCTGGTGTAAAGTGCTGGTGCTTGCCGTACCGTAATGAAATATTTAAAGAACTTTAAATGTATTCAAATAGATTATTATGATTACGGTAAGATTCGTTATTCGCTTTTATTAGACAAAATATGAAAGTTCAATTTTAAAAATAAACTACTATCCGTAGGAACGTAAAATTTTAGTATGTTGTTCAAGGCCATGATATCTGTCAACATAAAAAGTTTCATTAAAATATTTTTTTCAACAATTTAGTTAATCACGAAAAAAACGGCTCGGCCGATCTTTGCCCAAAACTAATCAGCACGAATCCCAAATAATATCTTTCGAATACTTTTTGAATTTTTAAAATCGGTTCAGAATTTTTGATTAAAACGTGGATGGATTTTTTTTCAATTTTCTGCTTAGTTTTTTTGCAAAGTCAGGTCCAGCCCGGGAGATACGGAGATAAGAGTACAAAAATGACAGGTTTTGAGAGAATTAGCATCCAACTTGAATGGTTTAAAAAACATTTGATTCCTATTGATGAGGAGATGTGCTGATTACTTTTGAACCATACAAAACACACACACATCCATTTTTTCTGGGGTATGCCAAAATGTTCAGAAACCTTCAAAACGTCGAGAAATGCAAAAATTTTTATTTTCGATTTTCGGTCTATTACTATAACTACCCTATTAACTACGGGAAGTTAATAATACATATGCAAATATACTAATATATGAAAACATTAGCATTATATATGAGTTTAATAGAGCATCAGTCTTAGGCATAAGATATTTGAAAAACATTTGAGTTAAAGGCAAGATTGAGGAACGTTAAAGAATAGTTGGTCAAGAATTTGAGGACAATCTATAGCATTAGTACATAGTTAATACAAGAACAAAATACTATCAGTGAAACGACGTGTAGCAAGGGATGATACGCTGAATTTCAATTGATATTTTGGAAATTTTCTTTGAACCTTCTCTATTGCATCTGAGTTATTGCTAAGGTTAGGATACCAAATGACCGATCCATACTCTAGCTTGGAACGTACAATTGCATAGTATATGCTAGTTAGTGACAAATATAAAATTTAAATTTATTGCAGTTGCAAATATTAGATATATGATACCCATATACTGTAAACACAAATATACTCAAATTTTTGGGAATGCACTAGCAGCCAACAACATCTGTCGATGGAAGGGATTCACCAATACAGTCTAAATCCGTGAAATTCACAAGGAATATTTTGTTCAAGACAAAAAGAACACTACCTACACGATATTTATTATCGACACCATATGTTCGATCGCATCTAAAGATATTGAAGCTATCACATAAGAATTCGCAGCTATCACATAAGAATTTCAGTAAAGGCGGCAAAATCATTTTCAAAGGTTGTATAGTGCGAGAAGGCAATCAGAGGTTTTAGTATTGAGTCCGTGAACATTCTGATAATAACATATAATGACATTAATATCAGTAGAAAAAGTTAGTTCAAAGCTACAATCTGTTGTACGCCATTGACATATTTAATTTTAGAATTTTTTTCACGCTCAAGATCCTTGACTTTCAGTCT